TTATCTTCAGTAAAGGAAACCTGAGCCGATTAGTTAGAGTGGAAAAAAATATATTTTTAGAGCAAATAATAATAATTCAGCCTTGTGGTCCTTTGGATTCCACAGTCACACATCTTCATATTTAATAAAGTGCTCCAAAATTGTGGAAAAATGTCCATCACAGTCCAAAAAACAATGAAATTCAGGAAATAACTATTGACAAAAACTTTTGGCGTTTTTGCAAAGAAAAAGGAGCGAACTGAATAAGATCCCTGCCGATTAAAGGTTTTGGATTAATGTTCGGTGTGTTCACACGATGGGGGTTTTGACTCGCATTATTCTGCTGCCGACAGACAGCTAACAAACAAGGATACATGTTAAAGACGTTTGTTTAAAAAAAAGTGACAGGAAAAACAGTTTCCAAAGTGTTAAGAGGAAGGAAACATTTTCATTTTCACTGTTTATTTACGGTTTGTGGCACGGATTATTCTTTTTTAATTAGACACGTAGCAAGAGCTGTGACGGTATTCTGAATATGTCCCATTTTGAATCTCCAAACAGGAGCTGCCCCCCAAAAACTCCCAGGTTTGGAGCTCGGTCGGGTTGAGGAACACCTGCTGTGTGAAGGTGTCTCCATTCATCTCACACCCAAACACAAATGCACACAAAGAGATAAAACGAACCGGGTCCAGAGCGTCCGTGTGTTGGGTTTGTGGGGATTGTTGTGGTGTGGTCGACACCACGGAGGCCGTTGCTACAACAGGCCGCGTTTTTTTGCTGTGGCAGGCGGTATTTTTATGGAGGAACTGAAAGAACGCTGACGACTCAAGAGCTGAGCTGCTTTCGGTTACAGTGGAGAGACTAAACACACACACACACACACACACACACACACACACACGGGGGGGGGCAGACATGAAGGTGAGGGCGTCAGAAAAGGTGAAAAGTGGCGGAGATGAGTAAAATATGGCCAGAAGACAAGAAAAGATGAAGTCGGGAGGGGGGAAAGTGACTGATTGGTGAGATACCAAAAGGTGAGATCAGAGAAAAGAGGAGGAGGAGGAAGAAGAGGAGGAAGAGGGGGAGGAAGAGGGGATG